GAACCAGCTAAATGTGTGGGAAGTGTGATGTCCCCTTGTGCATCACGCTTCTCATCGTTTCATAACAAATAGCCTTATTTTTGTTATATTGTATTTTAAATAATTCTTTGATTATGCTATAAAATTTTAATTAAAACAAAACGCTTCTATATATTAGTGGAAACCAACACTTTTGAAGAACCTCAATTTCCATTTTGTCTCAGACACATTATGTATGTTGATGCATTATTTTTTAAATGTTTTATTTCAGTTTACTTAGAAAATCTAAAATTTGCATTTTCGAAATATTCCAAAAACACGCTGCATAAATTATAATACATTGACATATTCCATACTTTTTTTCCCACTTACCATGTACTTTGTTATAATTTTCTTCATAGATAGTTTGTTCGATATGATTAATAAATGTGATATTATTAATTTTTTTTAAAAAAGAAACAATAGCGATGTATAAAAAATGCACATTCACTTTTAATTAGAAAAAAAATTCATTTGTCTCGGTACAACGAGTTTTTAAATTAAAATTTTTTCGCGATATTGCGGTTTATATTTCAAAAAATGTTATCGTAAGGAATTTTTATGTAGGATTATTTCAGAAACATAATTTAAAATATATATATATATAAATATATATATATATATATATATATATATATATATATATATATATATATATATATATATACTGGTGTGCAAAAATTAAGGACGAAGTCGAAAAATTAGCATATCAGCTGAACGAAGAGGCAGAGCGGACAGAAAGACCAATCAGGAGGTAAGTAAGGTGATGTACGGTAGCACATGCGCAGATATGCAGGTAGACGTAATGGGGGAGTGTCTGAATAGTACAAAGTATGTTGTCGGTGTAAGATCAGTATTTCTGGCAAAGAGATTGCACGCCGTATAGCAGTTAAAATCACACCGAGTTGCTGCCTCAGCGAGAAATGGGGAATAATCAATCTGTTAGACGACATCTGGATGCTTTTACCCGAGGTCGAATCATTGGGAAGTTGGAGGAAGGCCGCAGTGTGACAAGTGTGGCTGCAGAGTTCGGAATTGCTCACAGCATCGTTTCACGACTTTGGAGACAATTTCAAACTACAGGAACAGCTATCCGGGGGTTCAGTAGTGGTCGTCAACGAGGAACCACACCCGCAGATGACCGGTACATTGTCTTAAAGGCTAGAAGAAACAGGCGGCAGACAGCGGGAGAAATCGCTAGACACACGACACAGGCGACTGGACGACCGATATCGCGTTTTACCGTGGCCAGAAGACTATACGGTGGTGGTCTGTTTGCGCGACGCCCTGTACGGTGTGTACCTTTAACGCCTGCCCATCGGAGAAGGCATTCTCTGTGGTGCCGGGAATACCGGAATTGGAGAGTCAATGAATGGGGACGAGTACTCTTTACAGATGAGAGCAGATTCAGCTTGAGTAGCGATTCTCATCGCATACTCATCTGGAAAAAGCGGGGAAGCCGCAATCATCCCTCGAACATCATTGAAAAGGACAGGTATGGAGGTCGCGGTGTTCTCATTCGGGGAGGCATCATGCTTGGTAGTCGTACAGACCTTCACATCTTCGACTCAGGTTCAGTCAACGGGACCCGTTATTGTAACGAGATTCATCTACCATATGTGCGTCTTTTTAGAGGCGCTATGGGTCTGCAGTTCCTTTTCATGGACGACAATGCACCATGTCATCGCACAGTAGCTGCCGAACAGCTCTTAGAGAGTGAGGATATTGAACGTATGGATTGGCCGGCACGATCTCTGGATCTCAATACCATTGAGCATGTATGGGATTTTCTAGGCAGACGCTTGGCAGCTCGTACCTTACCACCAGTAACGATTCGGGAGCTTCGATTGGTACTGCAAGAAGAATGGGCAGCAATGCCTCAACAACTCATTGACACCCTCATTCTCAGCATGGGCAGACGATGTTCAACCTGCCTAGCAGTCAGGGGAGATCATATCCCCTACTAAAGACCGGATGTTTCTTGCTGGACACCCATCACAGGGATGTTTCGGCCTTCAGTCACATTGCGCTCCATGCTACTTTTTCAATCAAGCTTCTTTTTATCCCTCTGATTTCTCTTTTAGTAAGTGTTGCTTACATTAAACATGTTTTTACGTATTGGGGATCTTACGGTATTAAATGTGCTGATTTGGAAAGCTTTTGTACAAAGTTATATTGAAAAAACCGTCTCGTCCTTAATTTTTGCACACCAGTATATATATATATATATATATATATATATATATATATATATATATATATATATATATGTATGTATATATATATATATATATATATATATATATATATATATATATATATATATATATATATATATATATATGTATATATATATATATATATATATATATATATATATATATATATGTATATATATATATATATATATATATATATATATATATATATATATATATATATATATATGTATATATATATATATATATATATATATATATATATATATATATATATATATATATATATGTATGTATGTATATATATATATATATATATATATATATATATATATATATATATATATATATATATATATTGCTATATATTTACGTTTAAATTAAATAATGATCGAATAATTTTTATTCTAAAATTTGATTAATCGATTGATTAATTGTATATTAACGTCATTGTCGGAAGCTGAAGTAGGGATTTTTCAATGGACTTTGTAATGTTGTATTTTGATTCGGTGACGAGTACATCGCAGTGTGAGTAAAAATTAGTGTACACTGCTCAAAACAATTAGGGGAGCACATGATTTTAACAAAAGTAAGCGAAGATGTATACCAATAAGTAACATAAAATGAATCATCCATAATGTAAAGCCCACCAGGAAACGGAAGAAGAAAACTTTATATGCAAGTCAAAGTTCATGACGTCAAAAACCAGAAAAGGAGATAAGGGCAGAAATCGGGATGTTGCAGAAATGTCTCTGTTTTATTGCCGTAACTGTGAAATTCGATTGCGCAGTATTTTTTTTTTGAGACAAGGTTACTTGAGAATGTCTCAACAACGTGATTTACCGGAATCCCCATGGCATGGCGTGTTATAAGCAGACTGGAATCCGGCCAAACACAACGTAGTGTCGCGGACGCTGTTGGAGTCGCCAGAAGTGTTGTTGCAAGGCTGTGGAATCGATTCCAAGAAACAGGAAATGTTAGACATCGACCAGGGGCAGGTCGGCCACGCGCCACTACATCAACTGATGACCGGTATATACAGTTAACAGCCCGTCGAAACTGAACAGGGAATGCTACGCAGCTGCAAAGACAGTTGCTCTTGGCAACAGAACGAAGGGTGTTCAGCCAAACAGTACGTAGTCGGTTTCATGAGGGAGGGCTCTATGCACGTAGGCCAATGGTCTGCATTCTGTTGACCCCACGTCACCGTGCGGCCCGAAGAAGATGGGCTGCTGAACATCGAGATTGGGAGTAACATGATTGGAGCCAAGTGCTGTTTACAGACGAGTCCCGATTCAGTCTAGAGTGTGACACCCGACGTTTTTCTTGTATGGAGGGACAGGGGCACTCGAAATAACCCCGCATTCGTTCGTGAATGGTCACAATACAGAAGAGCTGGTTGGATGGTATGGGGTGGAATCAGCATAGGCGGACGTACGGTCCTGCATATCATTCGGAATGGCACTTGGACGGGCCGAAGGTATGCAGCGAGATACTTCGATCTCATGTCATCCCTTACGCTGGAGCCATTGGAGATTCCTTTGTTTTCCAGGATGATAATGCCCGACCGCATAGAGTTCGTCTGGTGGAGAACATGCTTGAAGCTGAAACAATACAGCCTATAGAATGGCCAGCGTGCTCTCCTGACCTGAATCAATCGAGCATGTTTGGGACATGCTCTGATGACGCATTGCTGCGCGACCAAGGTCGTCTGCTACTGTCCGAGACTTGGAGATTGCACTTCTTGAAGAGTGGAACAGTATTCCCCAAATTCTGATCGATAACCTCATCGCATCCATGGCAAACAGGTGTGCAGCAGTCTTAGCTGTTCGAGGAGACCACACGTCCTATTAAAACTCATGCATCATGTCTAAACAGTACCTTTTTTTATCATTTACTTGTTACCAAATTGTTGTCCTAAATCATCTTTTCATGTTTTTTCCCATATTTTCAAAGAATTAAAAATTCAATTTTTACGCCTTTTTCTGTATTGCGCATTGATACGCGTGTACTATGCAATGTATGCCAATACGTGGCTGTCTCACACGGTTTTCTTCATTTTTTTTGCTTGCTCCCCTAATTGTTTTGAGCAGTGTATTTGGATCGCAAAATTTGTTTGCCAGCGCAGTGGCAAAAAGAAAAAGGGGGAAAGCTAGCTGCTATTTCGCTTAAAATGAAGATGGAGTTTTTACAGTGTCAGAAGACAAAAAAAAAGAAATATATAAAGGTTTTGATACTGCTAATTGAACTTTATGAACAACAATTAAAAAAAGAAAGCAGAATACGTAAATGTTTGACCGGTTCTTATTAAATGCATGCATATACACATATCTATGTAAAAAAATGTATACTAAACTTAATTTTTTTAAATATATAGTTTTTTTTGCAATATCCTTCTCTCTCAGCACGAAATTCTTTTAACACGAAAAAATATTTCAGTCAATTCAGTTTCATGTTAAGCGACTTTTTACAATATATCCAAACATAAATCTAATTATAATAGAGTAGGTACAATAAATATTTGTAATCAAGACAAAAATTGTGTTTCACCCTGTATTAATCCTATGAAAATTATATTTTCTATTTCAAGATATAGACTAATGTACCTATTTGAATACAACAAAGTTCACCAAAAGAGAAATACATTAAAAGTTTGGATGACAATGCATGTTTTGACAATTTATATTCCGATATCGACCTAGTTACAGTAACGATCTTGTTCAGGTGTTAAGGCGAGAATGTTTACAATAACAAGTGTGGACCAGGGGTGTAGATCAGATGGTAGAGCCCTCGCTTGGCATGTGAGAGGCACCGGGATCGATACCCCGCGCCTCCAATTATTATTTTTTCGTGTAAAATATTTTCGAAATTCGTTTGATTTGTGCAACGAGAGATATTTCCCATTACTTCCTCTCCGTATACGTACAAAGTATGTTATGTTTTACAAGTTTTTATTTAACTTGCAATGTAAAGTGTTCGGGTGGAATCTTGCAACTCAATTTTTAAGCTAGTGTCTTCAACCGATTGAGTTCAAATTTTGTATACACGTTTAGTTTGGATAACAATGCACATGTTTTGATTATTTTTATTCGGCTATCACAATTAGTTAAAAATATATTAATTAGACTAATTTGTTTAGGAGGAATTTTCAAACTTAATTTTGAAGCTGAAATTTTGTATACACGTTTAGTTTAAAAAGACAATGCATGTTTTGATGGTTTATATTCCTATATCGCAATTAGATTAAAAGATATTAATAGAAAACATTTTATCCCTGTTAGATTTTTATCCTGCCGAACAGCTAATTGGAATGAGCTTAAGGTATTCGACTACGTTCGGAACCGTGATTTTAAAAGAGCGCATAAATGGATAATTTTCATTATATTTAGTCTCAATTAGATTAGAATACATGCACAAAATTGTTTTAAGGACATTTTGACAAAAAAAATTACGTAATACATTGTATCAGCAAAAAATTAACATAGAATAACCTTTTTTCAAAATGTTCTCTTTTTGTGGAAAATGCTTCTATTCTAATAATATTTTGCCTGTATATAGCTCAGATTTCTGTACAGAGGTTCAGCTATTATTTTTGAAAAATTCCCATTATTTTCAGAGGTACAACCAATTGAAATAAGTATCGGCGTTTTTTTCTTGAAATTTCTCCCCAATGTTGTCGTGAAACATGGATACACCCACTACTTAGTTATGTATTTCAAAAATTCTAGTTCCGCCTCTGTACATAGGTTTGATTTACATATAGGGAAAATATTATTGGAATAGAAGCATTTTTCACAAAAGGAGAATATTTTGAAAATTGGTCATTCTATCTTCATTTTTTGTCAAAATACTGTACTTAAATAATTTTCATTGGAATACGATTCTTAAAACACTTTTATATGCATTTTCTAATTTAATTGACACCTAAATATCATAAACATTATCATCCATTTATTCGCTTTTGCAAAATCACAGTTCCTAACGTATTTGGACACCTTAAAGAAATTCTGATATTTTTCAACCTTTTTTATATTAATATTGAGGCGTTTTCATGAAAACGATTACTAAAACGTTCCATATGATTTTTTTCTTTTTTTCATGTTATTGAATCAATATTCTGCACTAAGAAAGTTCAGGCTTTTCTCTTTTAGAATCAGTCATTTAAAAAACAAAATACCTAAAACCTTTTTTTTACGATTTTTCAAAAATTACCTATATTTTTAATAAAACATTTAAAAACTTCGTCATTCTTAAATATAATCGCAGGAAAATATTTCTTCGTTTGTAGAACAGTATTATCCATATTTTGCACAAAAATTTTAAAAAATTTGGTTTAAAATTACGGATTTAAAAAATAAATTGTTTTTTTCCCTTTTTAATAAGAAAAAAATTAGTTTTGATATTTTAATTAATTTTTTTGCTTTGTCCAATGTTGTTTTAATCTAATAGTGTGTGTCCTCTCTTCCCATTATCCTCTTGTTGTGGTCCGAGTGAGATAGCTATCATATATATGTGGCCTGGCGGGAAAAAAGGGTGAATATCTCTTAGCTGGACTGTTCAAAATTAACTGGAAAACGACCTTTGAAACAATGATGATTTGAATGAGATTAATAGACTGAGAAACCCCTGTTCAGGGATGACTAAAAAGTAAAAAATAAATTAAAAGTAAAAAAAACAACTTTTTTTTTTTCAAAAACAAGCTTTTATTTAAATGCTCTAAAAAGAATAAAATAAACTTTTCTTTTCAAAATTTCTTGGCTATCAACTTATTAAGTCAGTATACAATTTATTATATAAAAGCTTGTCACGAGATTTACCTGTGTAGATAAACAAGCAAATTAAATAACTTGATCTGATAGATTTTAATTTTGAAATTTTCAAACTAAGTAAATACGAGTACTTAAATCTCGTGACAAGATTTTATATCATACATTGTGTAACGACTTTATAAGTTGATGGCAAAAATGTTTTAAAAGAAATGTTTATTTTATTCATTTGACAGCATTTAAATAAAAGCTTGTTTTTAAAAAAGTTTTTTTTCTACTTTATTTATTTGTTAGATGAATGAGAGCTTCTCTCTCTCTCTTTAAAAGAGAAAAGCCTGGACATTTTTAATGCTGAATATCTATTCATTAACATGAAAAAAAATTCATACGGAACGAATAAGAAATCATTTTCATGAAAAGGCATTTAAGAAAAAATCGTAAAAATTAGAAAATATCATTATTTTTTAAAAACAATTATACCGTATAGTGACGAAATAAATGATCTTTCCGATTAGGTAATTATTTTTTGCCTCAGTTTGACAGAAAGTATAATACTGGGTTTTAAAAACGTCGAAAAATCGGAACTTCTTTAAGGTCAATCCCATAAGATGCTAGGCAGAATAATACGATAACGGGGGTAAAGTGTTTTTAATTAAGATATTTTTAACTACTTGCGCGATATCGGAATATAAATCATCAAAACATATATTGTTATACCAAATAGACCTATATACAAAATTTCAGCTAAATCGGTCAAAGGCATCACCTTGAACATTCAGTTGCAATATTCCTCCCGAACAAATAACTTTATTTAATTACTTTTTAACTAATTGTGATATTGGAATACAAATGGTCAAAACATACTTTCTTATCCAAACTAAACGTGTATAGAAAATTTCACCTCAATCGGTTGAAAACATTAGCTTCAAAATAGAATTGCATTTTCCCTGATCATTTTACATTGCAAATTAAATAAAAGGTTGTAAAAAACTGAAAAGAACGTGGAAATTTAAATTTGATCAAAAAAGAAATAATTTTCGAAGTAAAATTAAAGCGATTTAAAGTAAATTTAAAAACTGCGAGCTCCCGGGTATCGAACGCGGGGCATTTCTCTTGAAGTAAGATTCTCTAACCATTAGGCCATGAAGGATCGTGGAAAAAAGTGAAGTAAGCTTCTAACATGGGTAATAATTGTTCAATTAATATATATTTTAGCTAACTGCAATATCGGAATCCAATGATTCAAAGATGCATTTTTATCCAAACTAAAAGTGTATAGAAAATTTCAGCTCAATCGTTTGAAGACATCAGCTTCAAAATTGAGTTGCATAATTCCCTCGAACAAATTACTTTAATTAATTACTTTTTAACTAATTCTGATGTCCAAATATAAATGGTCAAAACATGCATCATTGTCATAAAAACTAAATGTATGTACAAAATTTCAGCTCCATCGGTTGAAGACATCAGCTTCAAAATTGTGTTGCAAGTTAAATAAAAACTTGTAAAAACGTCGAAAAATCCGAACTTCTTTAAGCTCCATCCCATAAGAAGCTAGGCAAAATAAAAAGATAACAGGGGTAAGGGGTTTTAATTAATATATTTTTAACTCATTCCGAGATATCGGAATATAAATCGTCAAAACATACATTGTCATACAAAATTTCAGCTAAATCGGTCACGAGCATAAGCTTCAAAATGCAGTTGCAAGATTCTTCCCGAATAAAGTACTTCAATTAATATCGTTCTAATTGCGATATCGGAATATAAATGATCAAAACATGCAGTTATCTAAACTAAACGTATGTATAAAATTTCCCCTCAATCGGATGATGACATCAGCTTCAAAATTGAGATGCAAGATTCCACCCGAGCAAATTATGTTAATTAATTAAGTTTTAACTATTTCTGATATGCAAAAATAAATTGTCAAAATATGCATTGTTATTTAAGGGAAACGTCTGTAAAAAATTTCAGCTGCATCGGTTGAAGACATTAGCTCCAAAATTGAGTTGGAAGATTCCACCAGAACATTTTACATTGCAAGTGAAATAAAATCTTGTGATAAAAAAAACAGGAAAGAACGTGGAAAATTAAATTTGATCAATAGAAATAATTTTTGAAGAAAAATTAAAGTGATTTAAAGTAAATTTAAAAATTGCGAGCTCCCGGGTTTCGAACCCGGGGCAATTCACTAGAAGTCACCTTCTCGAAACATTAGACCACGAGGCCTCTTGGAAAGTGTTAAAGTAAGCTTCTAACATGGGCAATAATTTTTTAATTAATATCTTTTAATTAATTGCGATGTTGGAATATAAATAATCAAAACATGTATTGCCCATCCAAACTAAACGTGTATACAAAATTTCAGCTGAATCCGTTTACGACATCAGCTTCAAAATTGAGTTGCAAGATTCCACACGAATATTTTACATTGCAAGTTAAATAAAAGCTTGTGTAAAAATGTTGAAGGTCTCCTTGAAATTACTTTCTTCATCCAACTTCTTTAAATACTTTAATATTTCCTATTGATTCATTTGAAGGGTTTCTGGAATTTAAGAAGCATTTTTAAATATTTTCAAACAGTTCAGAGAAAAAATCTAATTCCAAAGAATCATTTAATATTATATGCACTTTATTGCATTTAAATCGCTTTGCTAATCTCTGTTTGAAAAGTGAAGTATAATTTTCAACGAATTGAAATTACATTCACGAATTTAAAATGTGTGAGTGACCAATTAATGAGAACCTTAAGATTTTAAAAATTCTTGTTACATTTTGTGTTTGTATTTAGCATTTTCATTTTATCTTCGCGTTTCTATTTCAATGGGTAAAATTAACAGTGTAAGTACAAATATTTATTTATTTTTATTTATTTAATTATTTATTTTTTTAATGATTTAGATACATACTGAAAAAAATATTTTTTGTAGCATCAATCAACTTTTTTTTTCAATTTTCAAAAAAGTTTTAGAAGGGTTAAAAAAGCCCAGGATCACATCTGTCAATGGGTGATTTTTTAATTCCAATAGGGCTGCGAACTGGAATTTGCCATTGCATATCTAGTACG